AAAAAAAAAAAAAATGCTTGGGACCACAAGTGTTTCAGATTTTAGATTTTTTTCTGATTTGGAAATATTTGAATTATATTTACCAATTGAGCATCCCTAATCCAAAAACCTAAAATCAGAAGTGTTCCAGTGAGTATTTCCTTTGAGCATCATGTCAGCACTCCAAAAGTTTCAGATTTTAGAGAATTTTGGATTTTGGATTTTCAGATTAAGGATGCTCACGTGTAGTCATTGGTTTATTCAGCCTTCTATCCAACTGACTACATAGAATCCACTTTTCCCACATAGATCCTGAGCTTCTATGGCCCATTATCCCCTTATCCAATCTAGCTTGGTTCTAGCTCCAGACATTGCCTTATTGTTTTCCAGCATTCCAGTTGCTTTTCATTCCATCCTAAGTAATCTATTTTTCTCTATGCAAGGTTTTAGGTTTGTTTGGGGGTTTTGTTGTTGTTGTTTTGGTTTGCTTTTAGTTTCTTTTCGATTTTTGAGACAATCTCACTCTTGCCCTAGGCTAGAGTGCCATGGCTTCAGCCTAGCTAACAGCAACCTCAAACTCCTGGGTTCAAACGATCCTCCTGCCACAGCTTCCTGCCACAACACCCAGCTAATTTTCTCTATTTTTAGTAGAGGTGGGGTCTCGCTCTTGCTCAGGCTGATCTCAAACTCCTGAACTCAAGTGATCCTCCCACCTTGACCTCGCAGAGTGCTAGAATTGCAGGCATGAGCCACTTCGCCTGGCAATGTTTTAGGTTCTTCTCTTTATTCCTGGTAGGGTAAAATTTTATCCCAACTCCCTCATTCTGCATAAAGTAGGTAGACATTTTACATCTGAAGGCTCATGTCTTTCTTAAATCCTTGAAAGTTTTCTTCTATTGGATCTTTGAAAATTTCTTCTCCTTTGTTTTTCTCTGTTCTCTCTTTCTAGGACTCTTGTTAGTTAATGTTAGACCTCCTGGGTTGATCTTCTTTGTCTCCTATTTTTAATCTTGTGTTTTACATCTCTTTTTTCCTTTTGCTCTGTGTCCTGGGAGATTTCTTCAACTTTATCTTTAAGTCCTTCTTTTGAATTATGTATTTAGAAATTCTTTTAATCTCTAAAAGCACTTTATTCCTCTCTGTTTCTATGTCCTGTGTCATTCCTGATCTTGTTTTTATATAGTCTAATTAGAAGTGCTTAAATTTGGGTGGTGCCTATAGCTCAGTGAGTAGAGCGCCAGCCCCATATACCAAGGGTGGCGGGTTCAAACCCAGCCCCAGCCAAACTGCAACAAAAAAATGGCTGGGCATTGTGGCAGGCACCTGTAGTCCCAGCTACTAGGGAGGCTGAGGCAAGAGAATCACTTGAGCCCAATAGTTTGAGGCTGCTGTGAGCTAAGACACCATGGCACTCTACTGAGGTTGACCAAGTGAGACTCTGTCTCAAAAAAAATTGTACCAGGCTCGGCGCCTGTGGCTCAAGCGGCGAAGGCGCCAGCCACATACACCTAAGGTGGCGGGTTCGAATCCCCAGCCCGGGCC